TGTTGTTGTTGTGTCTGTTCTCACATCTGCTGGAGTTTAATAATCTTAGCTATTGTAGGTTCTCCAAATTTGATGCTTTACTTAAAGTAATCACTTTGATACATAATTCATCACTTCACATCTGAGCCATTTTTATCACATGGTACAGTCTTCCGTTTTCTCACCGGTTTATTTTCTTTTAACTGGGTTGTTGTTGTGTCTGTTCTCACATCTGCTGGAGTTTAATAACCTTAGCTACTGTAGGTTCTCTAAATTTGATGCTTCACTTAAAGTAATCACTTTGATACATAATTCATCACTTCCCATCCGAGCCATTTTATCACACCATACAGTCTTCCGTTTTCTCACCGGTTTATTTTCTTTTAACTGGGTTGTTGTTGTGTCTGTTCTCACATCTGCTGGAGTTTAAGAACCTTAGCTATTGTAGGTTCTTTAAATTTGATACATCACTTAAAGTAATCACTTTGATACATTCCTCATCACTTCACATATGCGCCATTATACCACACCATACAGTCTTCCCTTTTCTCGCAAGCTTATTTTCTTTTATCTGGGTTATTGTTGCTGTGTCTGCTGCCACATCTGCTGGAGTTTAATAACCTTAGCTATTGTAGGTTCTCTAAATTTGATGCTTCTCTTAAAGTAATCACTTTGATACATAATTCATCACTTCACATCTGAGCCATTTTATCACATCGTACAGTCTTCCGTTTTCTCACCGGTTTATTTTCTTTTAACTGGGTTGTTGTTGTTGTGTCTGTTCTCACATCTGCTGGAGTTTAATAACCTTAGCTATAGTTGGTTCTCTAAATTTCCTGCAAATATAAAAAAAATTTCTTATTCTCCAATGTTTTTTTTCTCCTTAACAGCTGCAAAAATTCTTCTCAAGATGTTCGCAAATTAAGTAATCTATTTCTTTTAAAATTTCCCGAATTAATTTCTGACTTCGAAAGTAAAATATTTATCCGAGAAATGTGCAAAGCAAACTGAAAATAAGAAAACATTCCTTTCCTCAAAACTTTAGATTTTTTTTCGTCAGGCACAAACTCCAGAATAGTAACAGTTAAAATTTTCATATTTTTTTCTCATTTGCATGAGATGAAATTAGTTACTGATAGTAAACTTAAACTATTATTAAAGAAAATATATAAGAAAATGTCAAAGACATTTTGCTCTGAGTTTTTCCGGTTTCGTTCGTTTGCTCGGGAACCGTAAGAGACCCATATTCAGTGACTTAACAAAGGTTATTACATGTACCAATAAGTAATAGAAAAAATAAAAACTGGGTGTTTAGAGCGGATTCCAGGTTGCTGCGGGTTAAGTTTAGAGTTTCTTAATTTCATGTTCATAATATCCTAATTGGAAAAATCATAGTAACCATTTTCAAACCTCTAATTTATATAACTTTTAACAAAAGAAATACTTAGCGTGTGCTTACGTCACTAATGTATAAATATATTACTAAACACGAAGATTTTTTTATTAATGAGGGTTGGTTATCGTTAAAGTCACAGTTGATGCGTAGAAGTCGTCATCAAGAAATTAGCAAAAATAGTTCTTCTCCTAAAAACTTTTATTTATCAGAAAATTGATATATAATTTAAAGTTGTTTTGATTACAGCCATAGATATATTCAGGGGTAGCAACCTATTGGCGATCGAAATGGGCTGCAGGTGGCGTAGAGCAGAACTCTTTTCCTATGGCAACACTTCACATGCTTTCCCCATTAGCGTGTGGAAAGTCATAGAGGAAGGAAGTACGTTAGTTTCACTCTTGATTTTCATATAAATTAAAATCTTTTAACTAGAAAAACTATATGGAACTGAAAACTACATTAAACATAGTTCTAAGGAAAAGTATCATGGAAATTTAAAAAAATATTTTTATTAAGTAAAAAGGAAAAATATTAAGAAAAGGGAAAATATCGTAGTACATTCCTATATAACTGAAAACAGGAGGAGAGGGAAATGAGAAGGGCTAAAGGCATGAAACCGGTCTCTCCCCAGATGGCGTATTCGAGTGTTGCGATCGCGAATAAGGGTGGGGGTCCCCTCCAAAAGGTCCCACCTTATCGTGGTGGAGGGGTTTAAGGCTCCCATTTTTTAAATGATGCAGCAGAATATTTTTATCAAAATTCTACATTGAAGATTATTTAATGAATGTGAGCTGACCAAGTGGACCTACATAAGCTATTATCAAAACGAAGTAATTCAGTGAGTAATTTTATAAGAAATTGTCATTATTCTCTCACCCCCCCTCATAAGAACCATTCAATGGTGCATATAACAGGAGGGGGGGGGGAGGTTGCAGTGAACTTTGTGCCCCTGTGGGGCATACGTGTACACGAATCTTCTGTTCAGCGATTCAAAAGGGCAGTCTTACAATTTTCGACGTCTTATTATTTTTAAATTATCTCTATTTTTTCACCTGTTTTCAATGTTTGTGAATTTTTTTTCAAATATTCTTCTTTATTATATTTAATCATTATTTTCTTTCAACAGCAACTTCATAATGAAAAATATTTATTTATCTCAGGTTCAATACAAAAGAACATTTTTTTATTCTTTACTGGGGCATTTGATTTTGCTATTCGTTTGAAATAAAAAAATTTTACTTATTATTTCATTTTATAAACGGTATCGATTCATTTTTGAGTGATTTTAGCTTTGGCATTTCAATGAAATTAGTATTACTTATAAATACTCGTAGTTAATACGCTTATTAATCTACAGTTTCTGGACAAACTAATTTGCTTTTGAATGGCTAAGAATCTCTTATTCTGTTTAATTCTGTGAAGTCAAATGATTAATATCAAATATTAGATTTCGTGAGGAAATTTTTTTTAAAATTGAAATAAAGACAATAGACATATAAAAATTTCACTAAATTTTGAGCTTCTTACAACCAGTACTATTCAGTTGGAATCTCAATTACTGACAATTCTGAGACTGATCATTTTCCAGACATGATGCAGGTTTTTGCATAAAAAAATGAAACTTCCCCTATAACTGAAACCAATATCTTTCATGTAATAGTTATATAACATTTTGAGAAAGAGAGATCTTTAGAAAGTTGTCACTATGAAGCAGCTAATAAAATTTACTAATCACAAACCTGAAATAATTATGGTGAAAAAAGGTTCGAAATGGAAAATTAAAAAAGCCTACATGATTTTACAATTACGTAGAAGCTAAATTTGTATATTTTTAAAGCACAATTGACATAGGTTACTAGCCAACACTTAAAAACTAGCCTCAGTGAAACTTATCGCGAAAAATTTAATGAAGTGAATTACAATTAATGAAACTGAATGAATAATGCATATTACATTAAGCAAGCATAGTAAATAATTGATAAAGTTTGCATAATTGCACGATTATTAAAATATAAATTAAATACTTTTAATATGTCGGATAAAATTTTAGGTTACAGGAAACATATAATTAGATAAAATATCAAAATAAATCCATTTAACATATCTGACAAATTATCTATTTTGTTACTTCAGAATATCAGTAATGTATTTTGAACATTATTGAGAAAATGCATAATTTTCACTAAGCCTAATTTTTAAATAGCATTTATACGAATCTAGATATACTATATGCAAATCAAAATTTCGCAAATCACAATGTGATACATAAATCACTTTAATGTGAATTCTGTTCATGATTAGCTAATAGTTTCCATGTGAATAGTGATATTATGATGCAAATTGTAATTCGAGAGGTGCTTAACACAGTTATGTGATCATTTTGAAGAGATATTGAGTGGTAATTCTTAAATCTCTCTATTGCGAATCGCAATGCCTGATTTGTAAACTACTAGAATGAGAACTGTGAGGCATGATTCTGATATTACTTACATAAGTATCCCGCTATTTGATTCAGAAATAACCTCAATTGAAATCCTGATGTGCGATTTATAAAATGCCTTAACATGAATCCTGATGAGTAATTTGCAAATCACTTTAAAGTAATATTTGATCCTTTAATCGCTTTCATCGAAATTCCTAGAACATTTTATATTAATTCCGATCCATAAATTACGAATCGGTTTAATGTGAATCACGATGTTTATTGACAATCCACGAAATCTAGAATCTTGGCAGTAAAATCCAAATGTAAAAATCTGATTATAAATGATAAACTAATGACACTTCTTATAAAAATAGGATAACAATATTGAACATATTTCTAAATCGATTAAACACCATATATCATTCGAAAACTAAGACTACAAAACCTAAAATTAGCAAGAAATTTCAGAGATGAAGAATCTAGAGTGAAAAGTTTTGCATCCTTGTTAACCATTTTTCACTCTAAGCATAAAAAATGCATCTATCAGAATTGCTATAATTTTTTTACTGATCTTTTGTAAGAAAGATTAGTATTATTTTAATTACTAAAAAATCAAGTATTTTTCAAGTACTATACAGCAGAATTCAAGGACTTTACAGGTTCCTGATTTTTCCCCCCAACCAAATTCAAGGACTTTCAAGTACCGTGGGAACCCTAACACCTCATAATTTTAGTATAAAAATAATTAAGCAAGTCAATACTTGCTGAGGTTAAAGCAAACAAAGGTAGAATCTTTTTTCTTTGAAACAAAATTATCGCACAAATTGTTCATGATTAAAAAAAATTCCTTTTAGAAGTGTAAGCCTAAACTCTAATATCTTCTTTCTCGGCCTCAGTGATTATATGTTACGTACTAGGGCACTACATAGATGAAATATTATTATAAGCTTAAACATATTTACAAATAATTTGTTGAAAAAGTTAAAACCATATCTGCACTATTCTTGTCAGGGTATCGTTATATTGACCAAACATTCGAGTACTTTAATTTGTTCACCTATTTGTTACTTACAAACAAAAATTATTAAAAGTCTATATCAAGTCTTTTAAAAAAATATCCATTATACTAGTTTTCATTCTGAATAGGTTTGATTTGACTGTATTTGGTAAAGAAAAACAATAAAGAAAACACATTGTGTCTTTTTTTTTTCACTTTTATTTAATTGACATTTAATGCTGTGACTTTGCTGCTAAACGCCTGTCTCTCTCTTCAGCTACAGAAAGTCTTACACCCTTGCCTCTAGGCAGGGAGATAAAGGGCTTGTTTCCTTTGCCAATCACAAAGATGTAACTCAACCTAGAAAATAAAGATACAGCATTAAATACAAAAATTAGACATTAAAGAGATTTTACACACTTGATCTTTAAGGCAGCTCTTTCCATCTACTAGGAAATAAATTTACTACCCGCTGCGCCCTCAATATAGAAAAGCTTAAACTGGAGGAAAGCATAGATCAAAACCTTACAGACTCTGCGTAGCGAAATTATTCAACTAAAAGTAAGCACCTTTCAACTACTTTTCAAGCACTCAAAAAATATTTTTAAGCACTTTAATGGTTTTATCTGGTTTTAACCTACATGTCAAAAAAAAAAAAAAAAAAAAAAAAAAAAAAAAAAAAAAAAAAAATTTTTGNAAATTGTTAGAAAAAAAAAAAAAAAAAAAAAACTTGCGAAAATTAGCACCTTTTAAAAAGCGCTACGCACCCTGTAAAAGGCAACCCTGGATTTAACACACTCTTCACAGAGATTGTGGTTCTTAGCAGTTACTAGCGAAGCCAACTTGCTCCGGACAGCAAGTATATATTAAATGTGGTAGTTTAATCAATTGTTATTCTAGATTTAATAAATTCAATTTAGTATACTTTTATCCACCACTATTTATAAATAATTCGTAAGAATATATAATTCACCACTTGATTTCCCCCACTCACCATTGGTACAAAGGAAATAAGCCTGGAGCTTCTTTGACCTTTCCCTTTCAAAGGAGAGTCTGCACCACCATATCCCGCCTAGCAACCGCTTTCCGAAGGAGCTAAAATTCACCCCATGTGCCCTAAATGCCATCTACATCGGGCTTCTGCCGATCACACCCTGAACTTGGTCTTCTCTGGGAAGACATTTACTCTACTCCTCTTTTGGTATTTGATTTTCTCCAGGTCAACGGATTCATAGATCTGGTCTGACTTCGTCAGGCCAGAAGAGGATAAGCAACAACAACAACCACTTTATAGTACTTATGTCATGCTATATCTTTTAAAAAGCAAGCAAAATTAGTCAAATATTTGCAAAATTTACTTTGTAGTTATTTAAAGTTTTTAAAAAATCACTTTGGCGTGTCCGGAGCAGTTAGCAATTTTGAGTAGCTAAAAATTGTCCCATATCATATCACCATATTCACTAACTCACTGCAAAATTATTTTCAGATGTAAGAGATTTGGTTAAACCTAAGATTTAAGTTACAATTAAGGAAATAACTACTTGAATGATAACTCCTAATCACTATAATTAAGAATATACTTTATTTGATCTCATAGACATCTTGGACAAGAATAGACCTTTTCACTGTAACAGATTTTTCTGGTTCGTTTGTCAAAGTTTGTCATAGTTCACCAATTTAAAAGTTGAAATCTCTCAGAAAGACTCATCGATAGATAGAATCATTTTTATCATTCCGAGCGACTATTCATCACAAGAAAGTCATTAACAATAAAATAGCATAAACATTTTAGGGGAAAATGTCCCCCAAATGCGCAGAATGAAAAAAATAACGAATGATCTCTCAGAAAGACTCATCGATAAATAAAATCATCTTTATCATTGCGAGCGACTATTCATCACAAGAAATTTATCAACAATCAAATAGCATAAACATTTTAGGGGAAAAAAATGTCCCCCAAATGCCCAGAATGAAAAAAAAGAGAAAAAAAAGCTGGCAATTGGGATTGCAATAACGAATGATTTCTCAGAAAGACTCATCGATAGATAAAATCATCTTCATCATAGCGAGCGACTATTCATCACAAGAAATTCATTAGCAATCAAATAGCATAAATATTTTAGGAAAAAAATGCTTAGACTGAAAAAAATAAAAACTGGCATACTTGCCAACTTAAAAAAACTGCCATCAGTAAAACTTTTTTTACGAAAAATTTAAGACCATTCGAATTATTTAATAAGTAACAATACACCACAAATGAATAATAAATATATTAATTATAGAATCTATCACATGATTGAATGTTGATGAAGTGAGAACCAAATNACAACAACCACTTTATAGTACTTATGTCATGCTATATCTTTTAAAAAGCAAGCAAAATTAGTCAAATATTTGCAAAATTTACTTTGTAGTTATTTAAAGTTTTTAAAAAATCACTTTGGCGTGTCCGGAGCAGTTAGCATCTCGGAGTTACTAACTTCCATCTTTTAATAAAGAATGGGAAAATTTTGAGTAGCTAAATTGTCCCATATCATATCACCATATTCACTAACTCACTGCAAAATTATTTTCAGATGTAAGAGATTTGGTTAAACCTAAGATTTAAGTTACAATTAAGGAAATAACTACTTGAATGACAACTCCTAATCACTATAATTAAGAATATACTTTATTTGATCTCATAGACATTATGGACAAGAATAGACCTTTTCACCGCTACAGATTTTTCTGGGGAAAAAAGTTTGTCATAGTTCACCGATTTAAAAGTTGAAATCTCTCAGAAAGACTCATCGATAGATAGAATCATCTTTATCATTGCGAGCGACTATTCATCACAAGAAAGCCATTAACAATAAAATAGCATAAACATTTTAGGGAACAATGTCCCCCAAATGCGCAGAACGAAAAAAACGGGCAATTGGGATTGCAATAACGAATGATCTCTCAGAAAGACTCATCGATAGATAAAATCATCTTTATCATTGCGAGCGACTATTCATCACAAGAAATTCATTAACAATCAAATAGCATAAACATTTTAGGAAAAATGTCCCCCAAATGCCAAGAATGAAAAAAAAAAAAAAAAAAAAAAAAGGCTGACTGTGGAAGAAGAATCGNGACTCATCGATAGATAAAATCATCTTTATCATTGCGAGCGACTATTCATCACAAGAAATTTATTAACAATCAAATAGCATAAACATTTTTGGGAAAAAAATGTCCCCCAAATGCATAGTATGAAAAAAAAAAAAACGGGCAATTGGGATTGCAATAATGAATGATCTCTCAGAAAGACTCATCGATAGATAAAATCATCTTCATCATAGCGAGCGACTATTCATCACAAGAAATTCATTAGCAATCAAATAGCATAAATATTTTACGAAAAAATGCTTACAATGAAAAACTAAAAACTGGCACTTGGGAACGCAATAACGAACGCAAGATTATACAACAGAAAAATAACAAAACATCATCACAAACACAGAATGACATTCTTTCAGAAAGACTCATCGATAAAATCCTTATAATCATTAAAGGGTTAGATGTCATCATTAAATGTCAATCAGATTCGTAACTTAACACATCACTAATTCTTATAAGCTACAGCAAAAAATGTTGTTTCCTTGGGTAATGCACAAGCAAAATGAATTGAGATGTGCGACCAATAGAAAACAATTGCTCTCTGCTATAGATTGACCACACAACCTAAAACAGGTAACATGGCTTCGATTACAGCAGTGCATATTTAAACTCGTTGCTAACAATAGAGTGGCTTCAAAGCTAAGATTACAAAACTTTAAAGTTCAGCAAAGTGTTTTTATCATAATTTCAAACAATGTAGGTAAATAAACATCATTTCATCTGAAAAAATGGCATTTTAATGTTGTTCTACTGGGTAATGCACAATTTAAATGAAATAAAATGTGCGACCAATGTAAAACTATTAATATTTGCTATATTTTGACCACAACTTCTACACAGAATTCATGGCTTCGATTATAGCAAGAAATTGTAACACCAAAAGTGAACTTTCACTAGATCCCATTTCTAGGGGTGGCCGCTAAAGAAATATCCAGGCTGATTTTTGCAACTTAACCATTCTCACTTTTCCAGAATCTTTCTAAAATAGTCTCTGATTTACCAAAAAACAAAGATTCTGGAAAATAGCAACAAAGGGAACAGTAATAGTAACTTTGGCAGCTTTAATCTTAAGTGGCTTTGAAGTTAAGACTGCAAAACCTCAAGGTTCAGAAAAGTGTTTTTGTTTTTTTTTAAATCATAATTTCAAACAATGTAGGCAAAACATCATTTAATTTGAAAAATGGCACTTTAATGTTGCTCCTCTGGGTAATGCACAAATTAAATGAAATAAAATGTGCGACCAATGAAAAACTATTAATATTTGCTATATTATGACCAAAACTTTCACATAGAATTCATGGCTTCGATTATAGCGAGAAATTGCAATACCAAAAATTTTCACTAGATCCCATTTCTAGGGGTGGCCGCTAAAGAAATTTCCAGGCTGATTTTTGAAACTTAACTATTCTCACTTATCCAGAATCTTACTAAATCCTTAACAAAATCTAAAATAGGTTTTGCTATTTACCAAAAACAAAGATTCCGGCAAATAGTAACTTTAACAGCTTTAGTACAGTAATAGTAACTTTGACAGCTTCAATCTTAAATGGCTTCGAAGTTAAGACTGCGAAACCTTAAGGTTCAGTAAAGTGTTTTCTATCATAATTTCAAACAATGTAGGTAAATAAACATCATTTAATCTGAAAAATGGCATTTTAATGTTGTTCTACTGGGTAATGCACAAATTAAATGAAATAAAATGTGCGACCAATGAAAAACTATTAATATCTGCTATATTTTGACCACAACTTCCACACAGAATCCATGGCTTCGATTATAGCGAGAATTCAATTTAAGAAACTACTCTCTCAAATCCAGAATCTTTCCAAATTCTATTAAGAATCTTAAATAGTTTCTATTCATCAAAAACAGAGATTGTGGCAAAAAGCAGCCAAGAGAACAGCAATAATAACTTTGGCAGTCTTATTGATATGCTGTTTTTTTATTATTGAGCACAAATATTTTTCACATTACAAACCCTCAATAAATGCTAAACAAACACAAGAAATAAAATCAGACTTATAATTGCATGAATATAATAAAAAAAACTTTTAGAATATCTCTAGAAGTTAATTTAGCACCAGATATTTTTAGTTACATTATAAATCTATCTAGAATCTAGGGAATATATTTATAGATTTAGAAAATAGAAAACCTTGGAAAATATATAATTAGGTACACCCAACTCATTAACTCTCTTTTGGGGGCAGAAAAGTTTTATCAATACTTCCAGATTGACAGAACCCCTCTGATTCATAGGAATCCTTAATTATAATATTAAAAAAAAAAATTAAATTAAACTGTATATCAGAAAAATTTTGATATCACATAACATCAAACAATGTAGGTAAATAAACATCATCCAGTTAAATGGAACACAAAGCAACTGATTAAAACCTTACAGATAATTATATGACAAATAATAATGCTTACACCATAGAAATTAAATGTCAGTAAAAAAACACTATTCAGTTCAGAAAATATCCATAAATATCATTTAAAGTTATGAACATGGCATTCTAGAAACAAAAGCAGGAAAATTTGGACGGAAAATTGGCTTAGAAGAAATTTGGGTCAGTTTCACAAAATATTTTAACTTAAAAACAAGCCCTTCACAAAATAATATATCTTAATGATCGTTTTGTTAATCGAATAAACCCTTTCTAGAGGGTGGGGAAAAGAAAGACAGATGTAAATGAACTAAGTTTTGTCTTCAGCAGACGCTTCTTCGTTCAGCAGTATAGGCTAAATACTAAATATTTGTATGTTGAATCTCTACTTTAGTAGCAGCAATTGCTGTTTATATTTTAAAATTTAATTTTTTTTATATTATTTTACAGTGTTGAGCATAAGCTTGTATCTCTTTACAATCCTCCTCCTTGAAAAAGTTTTTTGCAAATTTCTTATCTTATATAACCACAAATTAAGGAGTAATTTTGTTCACAATTTCACAAAAACGGACCTTTCACAAAATGCCTGGACAGACCCCTGATAAGAGACTACTCCAAGACCAACATAAATTGTACAACAGGAAAGTCAATATTTTGAACACAAGTAAATGTAACCATTGAATTCACAAAGCAAAAATTTCCAACAAAATGAGTAACTGCAGATAAACCTAAAACATATTTCAGCAGAAAATGTCTATTTAGAAAAGCATCATGAACTTCAGAAAATTCTTCATATCATTAAACATCAAGCAATGTAGGTAAATATTCATCATTTAGTTCATAACAATGAAGAGAACATATTGAACAAAACAATTATGACTTTTAGTTTATCATTTTGTGTCAAGCAAACTAAAATGCTAATAATTTTTTAGTAAAATTAACCTGGCAAGATAGGAAATAAATTTTGATAACTGCGGATACCTGAATATTACGTAAAGTTGAATATCAGAAATATGTTGATATCATAAAGCATCAAACAATGTAGGTAAAGCATCATGAACAATTCAGCTTTGAATCCTTAACTTTTCTTTTTATAGAAGAAAGAGTAAATATAAATATATAGTGCTTATACCGGAAATAAATAGCTTAAACTAAACATAAGCAATAAAAAAAGATTATACACAATCTTATTCTTAGTAAATATTTCAGCGTACTACAGAAGAAAAAAAAAAAAAAATCACAAAAAGATACTGGTCATGCATCAATCAAATTAATCAAAAAACGGGACCAATGAAAAGCCTATAATTTTTGCTAAACACACTAAGGTTGGCTGCTGTATTAAAATGAGTAAGACAAAAATTTACCTATTAAATAATATCATTAAATTAGTAAAACAAAACTATAAACTCCATCTTTATAATATTAATATATAATTAGGAATACCGTATAATAGCTTAAAAACAACCATTACCTATAATTATAATTATTCCTCTTCAATTTATAAAACACAGGTAAATAATAATCTACATCATAAACAAATATTTCTGATGCAAGTGTTTAAAAACTACATTACATTTCTTAAAAAGTTATAATAACTGTTTAAGATTCAATATAGTGAAATGATCAGCAACAGCTATTGGAATAGTATTTTCCAATGAAAAGCTACTAAAAATTACCTCTGCACAATATTCACAGGAAGAGCGATTACAGTGATCAGAACAAGGGATTGGTAAAAATATCAATTTTCAGATTTGATTTAAAAATTAGGAACAAATCCGAAAAATTTAGAACAGTTGGCAGCTATGCATATGATATAAAATGGCTTCGACCTTAGCAACATATTTAAACTGATGACCAAGGTCTATATAAGGCTACAAAGCACATACAGAAAATCTTACACAACACAATATAGACTATGAATTAAAACACTTTCAGAAAGACTCATCGATAAAATCATTATTATCATTACATTGCAAATGCAGGGTTCATACAGAGATGAGAAGAAGAAATCCAAAGAGTCCAAAATTTAAAAACATTGCGCTTAAGATAACTAGACAGTTATTTTTTTTTTTTTAAAAAAAATCAAAAGGCAGTTACTATAAAGAACTTACAAAAATGTATATTTTGCAAAAGATATCTTTTCTAGCCCTTTTGAAACAAATTTTGACTATGTCAAACCTCATCAAGAAAAATAAAGTTATCACTTACACATAAATATTTTTCCAGCTTCAAATATTTTAATAAATCTTGTTAAAGTACATAGTACAGATGTTTAAGATTAACAAAACAACCTACCAATTCTATATTTTTAAATTTGAATACATAAGAAAATTTAAGGCAATTCATACATAAAAAATTTAAAAAATCACAGTAAATCATTAATTAAGTTTGCTTGTAACATGTAAAATTAAAATTATTTGCTGTTATTTTTTTCTTCTTTGAAAGTTTTTCTTAAACTATTAGATTTTGAAAGCTAAGTTATATCGTTTCATTTCCCTGCATGGGGAGCAAATTCATCAGCAGACTTAGTAAGTTCATCTATGCAACACAATAATCTAACGAGTTTCTAAGGACTAATTTGGAAATCTAAGTAGTTCCAAGTACTCCTTGGACACCTTTTTATTTCCAAGGAGTATAAGGAGTCTGTACGAACCCTGCAAATGTTATCATAATGCAAGAACTTAAATAAAAAAGCTTAGTATGACTTATATAAAGTAGAGTAATGTGCGTAAAAGTTAACAAATTGACATCTCAGAAAGAACTATTTATCATTTTCAACCAAATCATTTTCTAACCAATTTCATCATTGCATGTCAATAAATAGCACACTTATTTTAAACAAGATAACTATATATGCTTGCTCATTTCTTTTTGGCCCACAAAGCACAGGCTGCTAAGAAGAAACTCAAAGTGAACAGAAAATTAAGTTTCTCCAGTCTTCTACAGATAATCCTTATTTATTCGCTATTTTAAATAATGAAAAATGCATAAAATCTTATTCAATGAGATTCTCACTTAAAAACTGACAAAATTTGAGGGATATCCCCAAAACATACTGTACAAAAGTTCTGAACATTTTACACCAAACTCGAAAAAAACTTACACAATAATCCCATTATTCTAAAATCTATTATAAATGCAATTTTGGCACAGTTAAATATGAAAATGAAGGGAAAAAAAATAACAACGAAACTAATCAAATCTTTACCTTGTTGCAAAACTATGACCTAATGAATCTTTAACGTGGACTATGTCGAAGGAACCAGGATAGCGTTCGAGATGTTATTTTTCCTACTCGTCATATAAAGTAGAGTAATGTGTGTAAAAGTTAACAAATTGACATCCTCAGAAAGAACTATTTATCATTTTCAACCTAATCATTTTCTAACCAATTTCATCATTGCATGTCAATAAATAGCACACTTATTTTAAACAAGATAACTATATATGCTCGATCATTTCTTTTTGGCCTATAAATCACAGGCCGCCAAGAAGAAACTCAAAGTGAACAGAAAATTAAAAGTTTCTCCAGTCTTCTACAGATAATCCTTATTTATTCACTGTTTTAAATAATGAAAATGCATAAAATCTTATTCGACACTTTACACCAAACTCGAAAAAAACTTACATGTTAACCCTTGTTGTTCTAAAATCTATTATAAATGCAATTTTGGCACGGTTAAATATGAAAATGAAGGGGAAAAAAAATAACACCGAAAAAAACCAAATCCTTACCTTGTTGCAAAGCTATGACCTAATGAATCTTTAACGTGGACTATGTCGAAGGAACCAGGATGGCGTTCTCGAGATGTTATTGTTCCTACTCGTCCCAAGTTATGCCCTCCAGTAACCATTACTAAGTTTCCTGTAATAAAAACAGAACATTAAAAAAAAGGATAACAGTAGACATTATTAAAACAAAAAGATTAGACAATAAAATTAAAAAATAAAAGCCAAAGATTTAAAAAAAAAATCAGATCTACTAAAACAAGAATTTTCATTTAATGGTAAGCATTATGCAGCAGGAGAATATATATTGCAACATTTTTAAAAGATAGAGTAATAAATTGTCAGCATAAACTTAAATACAATCTAATAATTTCTCTCTAGTTATTCCAACCATATCAGAAAAAAAAAGCTGTAGACATTTTCCAAAACAAGGCATAACGTTAACGGAAAGTCTTTAAATTAAAATAAATTTTGAATTAAAATAAAAAAGACAATACAACTTAAATTAATAATTATGTTATACTTATTGTTCTTAACATAATACATTCCTGAATTTTTTTTATTTTTACTCTCAACATATATATATAGTTAATATCAATAATAACAAAACATATTTCATAACGCATCCAGAAATATTCAAATAAACGGATATAAAAATATCAAAGATTCTTATTCATTTAGAAAATTTTAACTGCAATACTTCAGTTTTCTTAAAAACACATCACTAAAGTTTTTTTTTTTCCCCAAAGATTTCATTTTTAAAGTCAATAAACTCCCTAAATTTTCATTTGATTAATGAAAACTGAACTGAGCTTATATTAGTGATAGCACTAAATAATTCCTTGCATGCTGCATCTCTAACTTTTAATGATTTATTTTAAAAAGTTGAGCAGTTCTGTCTCATACGCTTTCGCTTGATAATGTATATAATTTTCGCAGTCTTTTGCTATAAAATGTCCACCTCACTATAATCTTTTGAAAATTGCATGCAATAAATATATTAGCAATGCATAAAATAAATCATTTAAATGTCACTTATTGATTTATGCACAAACCTTATAAAAAGTGCTCATGCGACCAAGACAAAGAATATTATTTTTTGGCTACAACCTTTACCTTAGTTTTAAGAAGAGCAAACAAAGGTTTAGACTAAAGCCAATACTAGGACATAAAAATAAAGACTGCAATACACATATTTAATAAGAAAGGACCTTGAACACAAATTTAAATCGATTCTCTTTGGCAGCAGTTACAATTTGTGGAATGCATTTAAATTTAGATGAAATTTCTAATTAACTACTCAATCAATTATAAATTAAAAATGAATGAACAGGAGTCTAGTTCAATAACATTAAGGAATCTAGGAATATACTCACAGTACTAAAAATGTAAACATAAAAAAATATGTAATTCATATCAGCTACAGGTCCAAAACTTTAAGACTTCATTATAACTAACTTCATAACACTTGGTTCCTTTCCTGAGTAACTAAATTAAGTTCTTCAAGGAAAACTGTCACTACTGAAGTCTAAAGGCATTAATGTACACATAGACGCCTAACTGATCAATGACTGGGAGTTAAAAGATTTAAATTATGAAATTACCACTTCTCATTTTTTAAAAATTTTAATCATTGTTTCCAAATTTTGTTTTCAACAAGAAATCAGATACTTATATATTATACAAGAAAATACTTATAAAATTACCTACCTACAAAGAATCACACTTTTAAAAAAAAATCTTAGTTCTTACAAGAACCGTGATGCTGGATTTTTAAAATCTCGTGAATATAAATTGCAATATTGGGTTTTAAAACTGCAAATTTAAATTGAGATTTTGGGTTTTAAAATCTTGCAAATACGAAAATCAATGTTTGATATTACTAACGTGTATATGCAAATCAAAAACAAGATGATCAGAAGTGTGACACACGAAGGTGAAAAGAGTCACTGGATTTTAAAAATGCAAATCATGACAATGGATATTTAAGCCATGCGAATAACAACTGCAACATGCATTAAAATTGTGTGAATATTAGTGAATAATGAAGTAGTTTCAACCATTTAAAACGACGAAAATCCACCAAAAGAACCACGTTCGAGAATTCCCGCCCATTGGTGGAAGAATTACGTCTATGCAAGCATTTTGTTAGAGGGAATTAGCAAAATTTTCAAATCTCAGAAGAAAAAAAATACAACACTAGAACAAAAACTATTTAAAAAAAAAATATTGTAAGACCTTACCAATGTCAAATTTGATGAAGTCCATAATTTTACCAGTGGCAATATCAAGCTGAATAGTGTCATGCACTTTTATGAGAGGATCAGGATATCTGATTGTTCTGCCATCGTGTGTTACTAAGAAAGGAATACCTTTGGGACCAACTTGAACTCTCTTAACTCTGCACAATTTATACTGTAAAATGATATGAAACATTAAATAAATACAATTCTAAAAAGGAAAGAATACATTAAATATGAAAAAAAAAAACCTTTGTTGACTTTTAAACTGAACCTGAAAAAATCTATAATAAAAATCTAACGGCAAAACTTAGACTTAGAAGTTTTTAATGTATCATACACTGGCTGCTAAGCTAACAGATTACTAAATAATGGCTAACAGATTACTAAATAATGACCAATATTTAACAAATATCTCATAGTTATGCGAGAAAATACATTATATTACATTATATTAACATTTCCTTTTTTAAGAACTTTAAAAAATTCTCTACTTATGATGTTTACAAAACACAGAAATTACCTCGGACAGTCATACTAGACGGTACCCACTCTTTTAACAAAGCAAAAATGAAGGACCTTAAAAATAGTATGATTGTTTATCATCAAATACACAACACCACTAGTGACAATTATTTACCTCACACAAATCGCTATCTTATTTCTCTAAAATGCTCTACCCTCGATGCATGACAAAAGAAATTTGTGTTTTAAAAAATTGCTCCTATCAACTATAGTGATGCTGAAAAACTAAGGATGTGCCAAAATTAAGTACCTTTAAGGGCTCTTATTTTCTAAAATGAAACCCGGGAACCCGGTACTACAACCATGAAATTAAAAAATTGTATCAAATGAAAATATTTAACAAAAAAGTATAGAAACCTTAGCTTCTTCAGCGGTTATTCTATGAAGAAGAAATCTTCCTTTGACATCATACAACAACCTGAAGTATTCACCAGTTTTCTCAATTGTAATGGTATCTAGAATATTTCAAATATTTAATTAAGCACGCAGTTTAAGAAATATTTTTCACAATTTTCAAATAAAATAAGTACACTTTATGTTACATATATTACATAGTTGAGTAAAATAGTTCATAGTAACTAACAATCTCTTTGGTATATGTTACAATATAATCTATCAGTATTAACAGCCACCAATTGTTAAAGAAATAAACTAAATGTAATACTTAGCAAAATGCTATGAATTACTTACGATAATCTAATCAGTTTTAAAAATTCAATAAATAAAAAAAATTCTGGGAATTAAAATGAATTAATCTTAAAAATTTGCGATAAATTATTTTTTTGTAAAAATCAACTTGCTTCCAAATTTGTGCTTAGTTTACGTGAACACTTAGGTAAAAACACATTCTTTTAAAAATAAATATGATGTTACAAAAAATATTGGAGGAAATAATAACGTTCAGTATTTCTTAAATCAAAATGCAAAACAATTAGCATAAATTATCGGCATTGAAAAATTGGGGGATTGAATGCAATTAGGCAATATTACCTACAAATCCCTAATGAAAAAGCTAAATTCTTAATAAGTCAGAAATAAAGTTTAATCATAACAAATGTTTTAATAACGTTAACAAGTTATACTTTTTAAAACTGAGAAAGAAGCATTTATTTAAAACAAGAAACCATTCATTTATCCTTATCTAACACACAGAACCTATGCTAAGCATTTGCCACCTCACCAGAAGCGATAAAATCGTAAATTCTGCAAAATAAATGCGTTTTGTTAAAAGCATTGACAAAAGTTTTCTATCTACTGAAAATAAAAATAACTCTTAATCTTGAAAATTATGTCAGTATAAATTTTTCTGAATAATCAATCCATTTTGTTCCATATGTTATACCTGAAATATAGGATGCATAACTAAGTAGAATTATATCAGAGCTCATTCTAGGCAGGGTAAACAGGGTGCAGCACCTTGTTGCCCCTGAAGTAAATTAGTGCCCTGACATAATAGACTCCATACCCTTTTTGCCCTTTCTTTCCTCAACCCTTCTTTACTTTTTCCACAAACTCTATAATGGATTTCATGAACTGTTATTTTTAACTCTTTTTATTTGGTTTATCATTGTTGTCAGGGGCGCCACTCTAAAAAAATTTCAAGACTGAACTCATTTTTTGACCAAATAATACTGTCTAGCGTTGCTTACCAAACTTTTAGAAATTTATAGCACATTGACACCAAAATTTACCTTTCCTTGATATTAGCCTACATATTAAATCAAAGATTTCATTATTTTTTCTAATTTTTTATTTTATGTTTTTTTAACAAACAAAACGAAAATAACAGCCAACCTTGCATATTTCTTAACAACCTGAAACCATTCATATCCCTGTTTTTCACTTCACCATTACTTATTTTTTGCTCTAGCACTATAATTTCTTTCTTTTTTAAAAAAATAATCTTGATTTAACTTTGACCAGCATGACGATAGGTTATGGTGGAGGAAGCAAATTAGAGCAGACTTAGATTCATTAATAGTACAAAATTTAATTATACAAGTAGATAAAGTTCAGACAATCCCATTTGTCAAGACTTTAAAGAATGAGATTTAGTGAAGCTGACAAAAAGAAGATAAATTAAAGTCCTGACATCAATACCATATCATGTTTTCATTAAGATACAATATTTTTTTATTTTGACAAAAAAAAAATTACAAAATTTCTAATGAAAAAAAAAGATAAATTTATTTAATTGATAGAATTTATTAGTCTATTGATTTTTCTCAAGACTGATTTCAGTCCCTGGGACAGAAGAGTGGCACCCATGATTGTTGTCAAGACATAGATTTATATGGGAAAGGAAAAATAGTCATCACAACCCATTGTTGCACTTGTCTTTGAAAGTTTGCAGTTACTTCCACTATCATTAAATCATAATTATTATTAATCATTTTAATTATTTAATCATAACTACAGACACTTAAAAACATACATTTATTATTTTATTAATATATGCATGCATTTTAAATAAATTACTAAGCTAATTAGCTCATTAACTCGATATATATGTTAATTTATTAATGAAAATAAGTAATTAATGATTGCTTTGCTACTTTCAGTTAAGTTAAAAAAAAATTATTTTACTAATTGACAATGTTTTTTAATAGAACGTGTAAAG